CATCTCATCCCGAAATTTCGTTCCGTTCAATGAGAAACGTTTTTTATGCGCGCCAGTTTAGCCTTTTTCTACCAATTTCCCCGCCCCCTCCACCGGTGCTGCAACGCTACGCACAGAGCTTGACAGGGGCCATAAGCCCGTAAGTTGTACGATCAAGTCGTTGTTAACAGAAGGCAACTGACAAAAGTGCTTGCTACCTGCTGGGAAACAGTGAAGAAGGGGTCCGAGGTGTGAGCTTGGCTTCTGGGCATCAAGTTTTGAATGTTTTTTTTTTTCTTTGCAGCTCCACACGCGAAGCCACGAAAATTAACAGCACGCACATAATGATGGCCCAGCTTAAACTCTTGATCCTTGATAGCAAGCTTCCGAAGTCTACCAGGACTTCTACCTCTTCATCCCCTTCGTCCATCTGGATGTCCCGCCTGAAGTCTCACAGCTCAAGAAACTGGCAGCGTTGAGGAAGTCAGTCTCTTCGCGGTCATACAATGCGATAATTGGCAGTTAACTGCAGATGTAGCATCAGTCCAATAATAGATTCTCGGTTTCGTCAAGCTCTACGATAACAGTAGACAACAATCAGAAACCGAAGGCCATACCAGAAGTTCATTGATGTATCTCGGAGTTTATTAGCTCGGAAATAAAATTTAAAAAATGTTCAATCACGACTTAGTGCCAACCGATCGAGGGTAAGAAACAAGTGGTGGTAGGAGTCTTCGGTCAGTGCCTGAGAAGATTAGATGCTCAAATAGCATTAGTGTCAGGGATCAGATAACATCACTAGGATCCGTGATTGAGGACAGCTACTCGAAAGAGTTCTTCGGATGTCTTTCTTAACATGTCATTCCTAAAGGAATGTGCCAGCTTCTTGTGAGGCTCCATCACTGCGTACTAGACGGTGTAGGGAGTCGTAGAATCATGGCTGGGTCAACATTGATCATCTTCCATTAGAAGTTACCTGGGTCTGTAAATTCTACAGACCAGGAAGACCACATAGACATGTGAGGGAGACCACATAGACATGGTAGGAAGGGTCCAACTTCCATAAGTTTAATAATTAAAAAGTTACCCTTAAATTTGACTCGGTTGCAGACAAATTCGCACATTATATACGTACCTCTAAACTGTACAGTTTAATAAATGAGGCGTTGGCAAGATACATTTTCCGATTGCTTTTCATTTTGATTGATCTTTTCTAAGCAGGATTTTTCCTATTACTTTTATTTGGATATACCTGAAGGTATATTAGTCGATATCATAAGATAATATGTCACGTATATATTATATATGGTTAATAACTAAATTTTAGTATATATATATATATATATATATATATATATATATTAGGATGCTTACGTTCACCACACTGCCCTCACCACACTCACCATCGCATATCACCATCGCGATGTCCAGGGTGCCTGCGGAAATTAGGATGATCAAATTAGCACACAATTTTATTACTGATACTTAATAATAATTTCTTCATATATCAAAAGTTGATCCATACGGTAATTCAATAAATACAACCTGACACAAAAGTCATGGCATAAAAGTGAGTCATGGCACAAAAGTGAAAACCGAAGGCTATACCAGAAGTTCATTAATGTATCTTGAAGGAGCTTATTAGCTCAAAAAATATAAAAAAGATTCAATTACGACTTGGTGCCAACCGAGGGTAAGAAACAAGCCCTCACCACACTCACCATCGCATATCACCATCACGATGTCCAGGGTGCCTGCGGAAATTAGGATGATAAAATTAACACACAATTTTATTATTGATACTTAATAATGATTTCTTAATATCCCATAAGCCGACCCATTCGGTAATTCAATAACTACTATCTGGAACGGAGGTGAGTTATGGCACAAAAGTGAGTCATGACACAAAAGTGAGTCATGGCACAAAAGTGAGTCATGACACAAAAGTCGTGTCTCTTTTGTGCCATCGCTGCACACAGCAAGTGAGTCAACCTGACTCACATGTGCCTTAGTGTAGAGTAAAGTAGCGTTACTTACCTTCTTGTCGCGTGGTCGAAGGATAATAAACAGTTGGGGCCGTTGCTGGGCTGTGGGGGCCTGCCTTCTTAGCCCCTTCGTCCAAGAGGTCTGTCATTTTAGTCCCTTCACCCAAGGGGTCTGTCATTCTTGTCCCTTGGGTAGAAGAGTCTGCCTCTTCATCCCCCTCGTTCAAAATTTCTGCATCTACATCCCCTTCATCCAAAAGGTCTACCTCTTCATCCCCTCCGTCCAAAATGTCGTCAACTACAACCCCTCTGTATCTGGGGTTTTCCGCTTCATCCACTTCATCCCACGGGTCTACCTCTTCATCCCCTCCGTCCAAAATGTCGTCAACTACAACCCCTCTGTATCTGGGGTTTTCCGCTTCATCCACTTCATCCCAGAGGTCTACCTCTTCACTCCTTTCGTCAAAGATGTCTACCTTTTCATCCCCTCCGTCGAAGTGGACTACCTCTTCATCCTCTTCATCCAAGTAGTCTACCTGTTCATCCCCTTCGTCCAAGATGGCGTCATCTACAACCCCTTCGTCCCTTATGTTTTCCACTTCACTCTCTTCGTCCCAGGGGTCTAACTTTTCACTCCCTTCGTCCCAGGGGTCTACCTTTTCACTAACTTCGTCCCAGGGGTCTACCTTTTCACTAACTTCGTCCCAGGGGTCTACCTTTTCACTAACTTCGTCCCAGGGGTCTACCTCTTCAGTCCCTTCGTCCAAGAAGTCTATCTTTTTAGTCCCTTCCTCCCAGGGGTCTACTTCTTCAACCAGGAACCCCCCCACCACCACCGCCGCCTGCCGCCACAGCCTGAACTTCTGCGCACGTAAGAAAACATTGCGTTTTAATTCGTTTTTTATATTTTTCCTACGTTTTGCTACGTTTTTGTTACGTTTTGTTACGTTTTTGCTACGTTTGCCTACGGTTTCCTACGTTTTAGTTTTAAAATCACTTGATTGAAAAATGAAAAATTTTAAAGCAAAGAAAACAGCCAAAAATTCAACATTTATTTAGAATGAAAGAGTTTTGAAGTCCAGCTCCATCGTCAGCTCAAAAATATATAACCTTAAAGACAAGCAGAATCTATTGGAAAACTGAAATTCACATTACAGATAAAAAATCTAAATTGACAAAGAAAAATACACACGAGGTGACAGGCTTATCTATTTACAATTTCAAGGACGTAGGTGCTGAAGGCAGCATTTTAACTAAAATTCTGTTTAAAAATATACAGGGATTCTGAAAATCCCCTCTCATGTGGGCCTTTGCTCTGCTTATCTTAACCTTTAACATCAGTCAATAAAATTCACCATGGAGCTTGAAACCAACAATAGTTTATCTTTTCTTGATTGTAATGTTACAAAATCTAATAGCAGTTTCCAGATCTCCGTATTCAGAAAGTCAACGTTTACCGGTTTAAGCACCAGCTTTTTTTAGTTTTTTCTCATTTCGTTCTAAATTAAATTGTGTCTTCCGTATTTGCTCAACTGGGGCCATACTTTCAAAACTGGCTAAGTGAACGTAAGTACTTACGCTCTATTTTCTTGTCTATGATTGGTCGATTTTGCTTGATAGGCCGTCAATGATTGGCTGATGAACTTATGATCTCTTAACTTTTTTTGAAAGTATAGGCCCCTGGTGTCCGATAGTGACTTTGTAGTTCTAGCTCACACGACCGGTGTTTCTGACTTACGAATATTAGAATCTCTGTATATTTTTAAACAGAAACCTCGGTTAAATTCAGCCTTTAGCTCATTTCCCCTTGCAAATGTAAATAGATAGGCCTGTCACCTTTTGTATATTTGTTTTTCTTTTGTCAATTTAGGTTTTTATCTGCAATATGAATTTCATTTTTCTAATTGATTCTGCTGGTCTCATAGGTTTTGAACTTTTGAGCTGGCGATGGAGCTGGATTCCTACATTTTCTTACGCGTAGAAAACATCAATGGAGTTTGAAGTATTAAAATAAATAATAAATGTTATACAGATTGATATTTAACAATATATTCATAAGACTGTCAATTGAGCGACGTAAATAGGGTCTCAATATGTCGTATTAAATTAGTATAAATATTTTATTAATTTATATCATACGTTTAATTAATATATATGCTGCCTCACTGAAAATAGGAATGGAATTTCGTGAGATGCCAACCTCTTTAGGTCAGGGTTAGGGTTAGGGTTGTGGAAAACCCTTCTTACAACTACTATGATAATCATACTGAGATTATGTTCACCTAAAAAGTTTTCTTTACATTTAATAATCTATTGTTAAATGTCACCTTATTATTGTCGATGTATAGCGAAAGTTTAATACTATACATAGTAACAAATACGTATAGTACTTCATATGTATATTAGTACATAATCTTATATACTATTACTATATATGTAGTCTTAATTAAACTCACATTTAAGTGACGTCTCAAGTTCATTTATAGGTCCCAATTGCGTAGAAGTTTGTATATATAAAATATATTTACAATATATACGATATATAGTTCGTATATTCTGTAGTATAATAACAATAACATTAGATAACATGTTATTCATATGGGGTCATCACAGCGGGTCTAGCCCTCATCACAGCGGGTCTAACCCTCATCACAGCGGGTCTAGCCCTCATCACAGCGGGTCTAACCCTCATCACAGCGGGTCTAGCCCTCATCACAGCGGGTCTAGCCCTCATCACAGCGGGTCTAGCCCTCATCACAGCGGGTCTAGCCCNTTAAAATATAATATAATTTATTTTAACACATATTATCTTAATTTTTATTAAGATAATATGTGTTAATCTAATAAAATTAAGATAATGGCCATTATCTTAATTTAATTAAATTTCATTAAATTTTCTTAATTGTCTTATTATTCTTCATTTAAAATATAATATAATTAATTTTAACACATATTTAAAAAATAATCAGTCTTCTTTCCTTTAAAATAAGTTACATTAAAATTAAAATGAATTAAAATATTCATTTCAATACATGTTTACATCTGCCAATTGTCCATATTATTATTCATATGTAAAAAAACAAATAAATTTATTATTATATATGTTATTATATAACATTTCTAATTACAACATGTCGGCCTGACCAGAATTTTCACTGCTTGCTACGGGTACTGAACCCCCAACTCGCTGCTCTAATATAATATAATTAGTATATATCCTCAATATAATTAAATAACATATTTTTCGGATTTCTAGAGTTCCCCTATAAGTTATTATTAAATAAATTTCTTTTGATTTTGAAAGCACTATAAATACAATAAATTCACCATAGAAAGAATATTCTAGATCTTATTATAGGTTAACAAATTTCTTAATTATAATTATAATTGATATTATTTGAATTATATTATTAATCCTTATTAATCACCTGATTAAATATGTAGTTAAGCAGGTCCTGGTCGCTGTCCAGGTTGGGGTTCTTGAGAGCATCCAGCACCTCCCCCACCCATCGCTCCCCCTCTCCCCACCTTTCCTCCGTCCCCTCACCGCGCTCCCCCCACCGGCGCATGCGCGTCAGGTTCAACAACAACAGGCCGGCGTTGAAGCCTCGTTTGTTGAACAGCGTCGACTGTGAAGGTATCAACATTCAAAATCAACATCAGTATATGTAACGAACTGAGGTAGCTCAGCCATGAACGATAAATTTTGAAAACCAACCAAAACCAAATTTTGATGTACGGCGCGACTCTGCATCAGGCGCCGCCCAGGACTCGGGGAGCGCGTAAATCAGCCGCTCATGTCAGCTTCTGCCGGGTTTGAATAGCAGCCTTTTGGCAGTTTGCAAGCTCGGCAAGACTTACAGGACATTATAAAGTCGGAAAAGACATAACAGGACATTATAAAGTTTGTTCTGACTAAAAGCATTTATCGATCTAGTGTTCATGCAGACCCATGATAACTTTGAGCCGAGCATTTTAGCAGCATTTGAGCAGAAGCTTAGGCGGTCCCCAAATTTTATCAAGAAATCAGCCCTAAATGGAAAAGCTCACTCAAATACACGCACCGGCCGATTTTGCGTCGGATTTTTGGTGGGTTTAACTTTAAATGCCGTCAGTGATTGGATGACCGAATTAAGACCTTGAAACTTTTTTGACAATACGCCACCTCATCCCGCCCCTCCCTCATGAAGACTGGCGGGGCGGCAGCGAGCAGCTGTTCGCTGTTGAAGTTGTCGAACTCCCGCCAGAGCTGCTCTGGCGGCCGTAGGAAGAGAACGTCTGTGTCCACGTACATCACGAGCTCTACGTCTGGCAGCGCCTGCTTAAGCAAAATTGAGATCTATACGACATGAAGTTTTAATGGGAGCACAATAAATTTCAAGTCAAATTTAGATTTTTCGTTTGATTTACGGATAACCGGACGGTAAAATCATTTTAAATGTACATAATTATATTCACTCTAGTGTGTCGCTATTTGGACAAAATGACCCAATATTATTCTGTGTGAGGTGCTAATATTTATTGAATGCATGAACTGAAAATAAAATAAAAAGGATTGCAAACCTGCGGGAGAAAAAGACGTTGGGTGGAGCAGGGGCGGTACTTGGCTGCCAGATGCGCGTGGTCCGCGGGATACCAGATGTCGTGAGGCTGCGGGGCGACAACAAGATGAATCTTTATAATAAACATAGTATGGTGAAAAAATTAGATGGATAGAAGGAGTTTACAATGATTAAAACATCAGATATTATACACATAAAATGGGAAAATACAGTCAGGTCCACGGTAAATCGCTTAGGGTAAATATGTAAGCGACACGAAGGGTTGCCGGCTAGGGTATAAATGGCAGTAAACACGGCTAGCAGGCACCCTCTCACCCACTCACCATGAGGGTGAGGGCTTCCCGATGGTGTGCTGGGAAGGTCTCCCGCAAGCGGGTGACGTGGGTGAACACCTCCTGCGAGTTGCTGATTACGTGTAATCTGTGCGTTGTATTTATGAGTTAATAATCATAATATTAATGTTCATCCAACTAGACAACGCTTAACTAACGTGTATTCCACTGAACAACTTTTAATTAACGTTTATTCAACTGGACAACGTTTAGTTAACATTTCTTAGACTAAACAAAGTTTAATTGACGTTTTTTTCAAGTGAACAACGCTTAATTAAAGTTTATTCAACTAAACAACGTTTAATTAAAGTTGATTCAACATGATATGTCTCAACCATACTTCCCTGCCACACCTTACACAAGTGTGGAGAAGGAACCTAACCCAGGTGAACATAATCTAGCCTAACCTCACCTAACTAACTTAACTGAACTCGCCCCTTTGAAAAACGTTGATTCAACATAACATGTCTCAACCATAAATAAATCAACTGTACTTACCGGCCACACCTTTTACAAGTGAGGAGGAGGAACCTATCCAAGGCAAACATAATCTAGCCTAACCTCGCCTAACTTAAACTCGCCTTACTAACTTTACTAAACTCGCCTCTTTGAAAACATATGATTCTAAAATACGCAGATCGGATGCACCAGAAATAGAAGCTAAAACCTTAAACTGAGTATCGGCCCTGTAACGTTGCACTGTTCGGCGCGAGTGCGCACAGCCGAATGAGGAGGCGCGATAGTGACTGCCCAGTCCCACTACTCCTCCTTTATGCTCTGCGAATGGCTTCGGACGCATGACCGAAGTATGTAAGAGAACAATAAATAAAGTTCGTATTATCGGGCTCTGGAACAATGTCACTGTATCGCTTGGACAGGAATTTCTTAATTGGTGCAAACATTAAAAGCTAGATATAAAAGGAAATCCACCAATCGAGAATTTATTGCGCATAAATTCAATTTCAGAGTACATGGCATGGAATGTCAAAAAAATATGAAAGCCACATGTAAAAGTGTTTGAAGCCCGTTCAACTTGAATCGAATAGTACAAAAGCTAAAAAAAAGCTGGTGCTTTGGCCGCTGAAAGCCGATTTTCGAAAAACAGATATCTGAAAACGGCCATTAGATTTACTAACATCACTGTCAATAAAGACTGTCTAACTATTGTTAGATTCTAGTTTAACGCTAAATTTAATAGAATTGTTTTGCAAATCCAGGTAATCGAATAATAGAATTTCAGTGAACAGATGAAATGATCTTGATGATCAAATTGAACAGTTCTTTTCACAAGGTTTAGTGGAAGACTCTCGCGCCCAAGCATTTTCTAAAAATGATAGAAAGTGGCGTATGTGGGTTACCCTGACCGAAAATGATGGAAACTGTGGGTCAGGATGACCCACATAATATAAGTAAATCTCAATGAAATCTAACGAAGATTTCCCTAATAATGAGAAGCAAGCTTTCGGTAGGGTTCTCAGTGTAAAACGTAAGCTCGATAAAGACGACACTTTTTGTCAAGAACCTTACTAGTTCATGTACAACCTGTTAGCTAATGACTTCATGGAACTTGTTCCAGAAGAAGTAGAGCCCAAACCTAGCAGGTGCTGGTATATTATACACCACGTAGTATACAAGAAGCAAAAGAAAACTATACGTATTGTATTAATTGTTAATTGACTTATCAAGGAGTTTCTCTGAATGATGTCTTGTTGACAGGTCTTGATATGACGACCAACCTCTTTGGTGTTTTGTTGAGGTTCAAATAGGAAGCTTTTGCATTGACTGACGATATGAGTAAAATGTTCTATGAAGTTAGGGTTCCCGAATACCAGAGGGACTATCTACGTTTTTGGTACGATGAAAAATAAGACTAAAGTAGTTCAGAACCGTATGAATGTTCACTTGATTTGCGCTTGCTCTTCGCCAAGCGTCGCATATTGCGCCATAAAACAGACTGCTAAAAATGGGTTGTGTTCAACGAAAGCTGAGAACGCCATTCTGGATAATTTTTATGCAGGTGACAAACTATATTTGTGAGATTTCATTTGTTTATATTTTTTGGAGTTTGTAGAGTCGAAAATATGTTAGATGTTTGATAGCTCAATATTTCTTTGTTCGCTCGAAATTTCGGTGTCGGTGCGTTTTCGTAGCCACTAGCCAGTTTACCGCCCGTAGCTCTTTTTTCCAGTCGAAATCGATTTTCACGATGGCAAAATTTTAACGTTGCAAGTGACATTAATAAACTCGATGGTTAACTTTTGGGAAGCTTGAAAATTTGAGTGAAATAAAGTAAATAATTAGTGTAAATCAGTTTTGTATCCCCGACGACTGACTAATTATTATAACCAGATCTTATGGAGTCAGTTCAAAGCAGAAGAGTTTTGAACACCGGAATTGCGAACTGAGGTGGGGTAGATCCTGCATAACAATCCACGATTCAACAATATTGTTGATCTAACCTAGGAGGTCAATAGTGTAATTTCTCAAGCCGGTTTCATAATGAAAGGCTTTAACCTTCTACCGCCGTATGTCACTGTCCGGGAACATAACTTTCAACTTAAATTATGCGTAAACTATTGAGTGTAGCAGCCTGAGGACGTTTGTACGCAACAGAGAACATTTTAAAGTAACTTTCAACTTAAANCTGTGGATGCTCTGCAATGTTAAGAATCGGCGACAGGCCTCCGGCCTACTAATTGCTGAAACCGCTATTATTATTTATATAGTTTATTTATTATAGAAGAATTGTGTTGTCTCCTTAGCATCTGTGTATGATCCCATGGAACTTGCTTATCTGTGATGATCACAGCTAGTAAAATTTTCCAGGAAAAGTGTCGTCTTAGACTTGACTGAGAAGCAGTTCTACTTCCTCAGCTTCAGAAGGCCTGGCGGGTTGTGGACGTGAAATCTTATAAAATTTTAAGTCATTCCTAGAAGTCTGAAGATCAATACCGTTCAGTGCGAGGTCAAATTACACGTCTTCTGTGAAGGACGAGACGTTGTTGAAGGTGGTGCATCAGCACAGAGATGCTGTTGACATTCATGGTTCTGTAATATACCTGATGCGACGGTATGGAGACACTGAAGATTTCTCATATTATTTGTCTGATTTAAATTTTACTAGAGTTCATTACTATAGGTAATGATATTTTAATCTTTTGCAGACTTTGATGAAAAATAATTTCAACTTGAGGCACTAGGCTTGAAGCTTGTCGTGGCGAACATTTGTTTTAGTTTGTTGGAATTAAAATTTTACGTCATCATTTAAATTTCATTGTCTCTTGTGTGAAGGAGGAACAATGAATTTATTAATCACCTACAAGCTGAATAATGAATTTCCGGGTTACATACCTTGTGTTACATTTGTTTAAGTTTGTTGAAATCAAAATTTTACGTCTTTTGTTAAATTTCATTGGCCCTTGTGTGAATTACATAGGATGGTTAGTGACAAACTATAAGCTGAATAATGAATTTATCGCTTACATTAACAAATGCTCAACTGAAGATGTTCCGCCATGTTATATCATTCATTTTTTATTAAATTTCAACCTAGATCGATGTTTACATTTAAAAGGATTACCAAGTTAAATGGTCAGTGCTTAGTATGGGGTAATGGTATCTAATATAACATTATAAATTCAATGTTTACTATAAGATATTTTCAATTCAATAATAATTATTATTTAATTTTACGTTAAGACTTAGCAGCCGGCTTTACTGTAGGTTTTTTTCAATTTATTCATTAATTTGTTAATTCATTTATCTTTGAANTTCGGACTCCCAGTAACCACGGCAACACGCGGACTCCCGGTAACCAAGGCAACATCAAGATTATCGGTAACCATGGCAACGGTTGGACATCCGGTAACCATGGTAACGTCCGAATTCCCTGTAACCATGGCAACGCGAGGAAGGCTTCAAGAGGCGGCGACCGCAGCCAGGCCGCCAGTGTCCGTCAGGTGGTCGTCGGGAGCGGACGTGCGCCCCGCGTCGTGGCTCAGCACAGGGTTCTTCACGCGGGGGTACAACTGAAAAAAAAATACATATTAACGGGTTAATCGTTGCATGTCATTCATTCATCATGAATGTTTTAAGCTGAACATTTCCCTGAATATCTACTAACGTGAATGACATAAAATGCATTTAAATCTTGCTGGGAAAACGTAGTTTAATTTGATATATAAAATAGATCGTTTGTATTGAAGACCAGCGTCTGAAATACGGGCAGTGACTCATCCCCAGGGGAGAAGAGGGGGGTAATGGGGGGTGATGACTCACCCCAAGGAGGTTGCGGGGGAGGTAGCCATGAGTGGGGGAGTGGGGGGCGGGGGGTGAGTGTAGCTGCCCCCACCACCACTCGCGCTCACACTCATCACCACGACGCAGCACCGTCATCGCGTCACCACACTGCGTAATATCATTATTATTATCATCATTATCATTATTATCATCATTACTTTTATAATGATTATTTTTAACATTATCATTAATATCATCATCATTATTATAATCATTATTATTATTATTAGAATGATGCACGTGGTGCTGATATTAATGATGAACTACAAGGGTCAATGATACATCACATGATACATACGGGGCACTACACTCGATACTTTTTTTTGCCCTTTTGTGGGTCATCTTGACCCATTAAAATTTTACGTGCAGATAGTGTGTCACTATCTGGACAATAATACCCAATAATTTTTCTGGGTGTAAACTAGTGGCACAGACGTTGTGTCAACTGTCAATGAGAATAACAAACACTGAAAAAAATACGTGTGTAAATATACACACTCACACACACCTTGAATGTGAGCTCGTCAGGCTGCTGCGCTGTGTAATCATACACGGCATACACGAGGCCGCCATTCAGGATGCCAAGCTTCTCCTGTATACCTGCATACAAAACACACATTCAAGTTAAAAAACTTAGAAAACGTTAAAATATTTTAATTAAATACCATTTTACCTTAATAGATTCAGTGTTAAACACTTCTCTTTAAATTTGTATGCTTACACTACACAGATTTTTAGAAAAGCTAAAGTGTAACGACACAACTGTATAAAATAAAAAGAAAAATACAGATCATAATGAACGCATATAATAGTTTCACATAGAAGACGATTTTCGATGCAGAATCGTTTTCTTTGAAGCCGATTTGAAAATTTTCTTTGAGAACTTTCGAGGATAGACTACGTTATATGCAAGCCACGCCATTATCAATACTATTCTGTACCTCTTTAACCCGATTCAAGTCTATATCCTGGCCCTGCCAATGATTATCTGACTAATATACAAGAAAAAATGATACAAATATAACTGTATGAAAATTTTTCACACAAGCAGAACGAAGTAAACGATACAGAACCGTTTTCTTTGGAAACGCAGGGTAG